CGTGTTAGAAGTGAAAATTCTCACCATAATCATGGCTTCTAAGAGGCAGAAGCATCCGGAAGCAGTCCAAATAGTGGCATACCAACAAAGCTGTTGATGGCTTCCTCTTTCAAGGATTGCTTAGAAGCAAGGTGATGGCTGATTTGACTCTTTGCTGTGTGTCTGCACAAATCTTAACCGAAATGAATGAGCAAAGTCGTAGAGGGATATGTTATTCTACTGCAGAGAGTCGGGTCGTCGACTTTCGGGATGAGAACAGAGGGTATATTAGCCATAAGTGGGAGGGATAGGGGGGAAAGGGGGAAGAGGGAAAGAGAGGATGAGTCTTTCGCCTTCTCCTCTTCCTCCTCCCCCTCTCCTTTCTCCCGAGTTACACAGACACCAGTGCTGCAAAAACCTGGGTCTAAAACTGAATCTGAAATAAAGCCTAAAGTAACTCTATAATAAGTAGCTCTATGTAGCAGTGTTATAACTCTATTCCTAGTTTTCGCATAGTTCCAGGACGGGAGGAGACTCTCCTCCCTACTCCCCGTTGCTTCCTCCCCCTCCCCTCCCAGGAGTCCGTCGTGGATCTGTCTGTGCTACCAGCATGGATACTTTGAGAAGTTTTCGCAAAAGTGCTTTTTTCCCGTTGCAGCATCCTTTTGGAGGTCCATGATGCTAGCCTATTTCCTGAGGTACTCACCCTGATTTTTGTCCAGCAAAGCCTTCGTTCATTCAAACTTAAGGAGAAAGATCGATTTGCATAAAATTTCTTTGTTTCCGCCTTTTTTCAACCCGATTACCGGGTGATTTTGGTATTTTTGTTTTAAAAATTTACTACAGCTACGTTTAAAGCAGCATTCGGAGGAATATTTCTGCGGGATATTTTGACGAATGCTCAGTTTGGCAACAATTTTCAGGTGTTTTGCAGTGATCATTTACGAATTCCGTTGCTTTTCCGAACACAGCTGTTTAAATGTTTTCACTTATCCAGCAACAGGGAACCATGTGCTTTTCGACTTGCCCTTGAACCCGTTTATTTTACCCACTGGGATATGTCTGTGCCAACAGCAAAGATACCTGAAACTTCGGCTGATCGAGCTGTTCTGTACAGTCGAGCCGAAGAAGTATGTGTTTGCTACTCTTTTTAATCTAAGTGTTGTAGAAATTTTAAAGATATAAAACAATGAATATCCCTGGCTAGGAAATTGGGAGAGATTCTTTTCCATTTCAGTTACTTTTCATTCTTAACTAAAAAATGTATTGTTATCACAGTCGTCGTACTGACGAGGTCCAACTATGGTAATGGTGAGAAATGTATACGAGTTAATGGACCGAAACATTTCTTATCTAATTTATTACTTCTTTTTACATCTTTCCCTTTTTGACTCTTTTTTGACCCTTCCTATCATCCATTTCCACATTTTCTAACAAAATTTTCACATAACCTTAAATAGGGGTCTGAAATCGCACCTATGCGTTAACATATGCAGTTTGTTTGGCGTTACTGGTCCACCACAGTGGCGAGCAACACGGCCAAATTTTGATAATTAATGAAAACACCCAGAAGTGCCATTTAGATCTCCCAAATAAGCAAGCCTGTATGTACAGTAGTGACTTGGTGGTCTGTCTGTGTTTCATCCCTGAGCTGTATTTTCTTCTCGGGGTTTTATCATCACGTACCTGAGGGCCCAGCATAGTTGGCATATAACATCACTCTTGGGCCAAAGATCGGATTTTCAACTGCGCCAATGAAACGGCTGCTTCCTCTACGGTTTGTTCATTGA